GCGAAACGGGCAGCAGCAACACCCCTGACACCAAGGCAACTGGTGGAGGGGGACAAGACGCTGACGGTGACTCGGAGCTCCTGCAGCTCATGCGTGGGCTTGCCGGACGTTTGGAGCGGCTCGAGGAGTCGCAGCCAAAGCTGGAGAAGGCGCTCGAGAGCGACAGACGCGCGCCCAAGTTCGGAACGCCTCTCCCTGCGCCAGCGGACACGAGCCTATTCGCGTCGGAGCTTGGGCGAGGAGCCCGCATGACCATTGACTCGTTGGGAGGCTCGCCAAGAACTCCACGGACTCCAACGGCACCAAGGCCGACGGTTCACGCTCCGTACTTCGCGGCGCAGCAACCAGGATACGGGGTGCCACTGTCAAACCTGCAGCGTCTATACACAGCGGCGCAAGCAGGGCAGATACCGCCGCAAGCTCCACAACCGCAAGGTGGTCATCAGGCCTCTGGCCCGGGGCAGCAGTACAATACAGGGGTGAAGTACCCGGACGCTCGCCAGAAGAAGCTCGCGATACGCTCCTTCGACGGCAAGGAGCTCTACGTTGGGCTCGGATCGGGCTTCCTCGAGTGGGGCAGGCGCTTTGAGAGGCAGGTAGCTCTTGCCCAGTCGGCTTGCGGCTTCGTGTGGCCAGAAGACGTGAAGGTGGATCTGCTCAGCCACTACCTGTCGGGCACGGCCGAACGATACTACAACACGCAGCTGGAGTCGTGGTGGTCGCAGATGCCGACAATGTAGTACATCATGGAGCGGATGTTGGAGACGTTCAATACGACCATCACTCCAGCGCAGGCGATGAGGCTGTTCACTACACCGAAGGACCTCAAGAGGACCTGGCTAGAGCACTACATGTACCTCGTGGCCATTTCCGAGGCCTGCGGGTGTGGCGCTGACTACATGGTTCTCAACAATGTGGTGCAGTACGCGTCCGCGGACCTACGCACCGTCCTGATGGCCAAGGTGGACGGCACGCGTGTTGACTACCTGCAGCAAGCTGAGAACTGGCGCACTTTGCGCAATCCTGGGAGCTCGAAGCACGGACGAAGAACTTGGGGAAGGAAGTTGTCGGAGCTGTTGGCGAACGCCGCGGGAAGGAAACCCGGCGGTGCCACCAATGCGGACAAGTTGGTCACTTGCGGGCTGCGTGCCCGGACCTGAAGGGCCGTAGGAAGCCTGATCTGACTCTGGCGGTGAGAGAGAATGCTGGCGCTGCTGGAGAAGTGTGGATCCTTGACAGCGGGTCGAGCAGGCACCTGGTGAACAATGAGGCTTGGCTGGACGACGTCGAGCTGTGTGCGGACTCGTGCATGCAGCCGAACGGCGATCCGTTGCACATCACCAAGAAGGGGACGCTCACGCTGAAGGTAACTGCACGCAGGACTGAGCAGACGATCAAGCTCACGGAGGTTTACTTTGTGGAGAACGTGAAGCACAACCTGATCTCGTACGGCATGTTGGACAAGAAGGGGTACGGGCTCATCGAAATGAACAGGCGGCGCGTCATGGCCGCGAAGGGCGGAGGCCCTGTTGCTTTCGATGTTGACTTGCAAAAGAACGTGCTCGTGGTGCACGCGAGCGTGGTGAACGAAGACGAGTCGCCGGCGGAGGTGATCATGGCCGTGCTGGAGACCGAGGCGAACGGCTCGCACGAGATTTCGGGCGACGTGCAGAAGGGGCTTTGGTCGAGTTCCACAAGCGGCTCGGTCACCTAAACTACGACGCGGTGGAGCGACTCGCCAGAGATCCAAGCTCAGGGATCTTGCTGACGGATCATAGGCGTGTGAACTGTCTGACGTGTGCGGAGGGGAAGCAGTCCAAGAACCGGCAGTCCGACAAGGACAGCGGAGACCACTCCCCCATCGCCAGGGTTGGAGGCGTCATTTGCTCGGAATTGAAGGGCCCGTTGACGCCGAAGGACAGACTGAAGAATCGCTACATGATCAACTTCGTGGACCACAAGTCCAACTACTGCAGAGTCTTCCTGGCGAAGACCAAGGACGCAGCAGCCAAACAGTTCGAGCACTTCTTGGTGTTCTTCGAGAAAAGGTTCGACTGCAAGATTCATGTGTTGCGCACGGACTCCGGGGGAGAGTACCAGAGCGTGGATCTCTTCTGCAAGCGCACCGGTGTTGCGCGGCAGCGCAGTGAAGCTCGGAACCAAGCCAGCAACGGAAAAGCTGAGAGGATGCACCGGACTATCATGAACATGGCGAGGTGCATGATCTTTGCCTGCGGGCTGCCGCTGTCGTTTTGGGGCGACGCTGTTCAGTACGCTACGTACATTCTGAACAGGTCGCCCACCAACTCGAACCCGGGGCGCGTGTCGCCCATGAAGTTGCTCACGAAGCAGACGCCGCAGCTGGGAGAGATCGTGGTGTTCGGCTCCCGATGCACGGTCCACCGCGACCCGCCCAACAAGAACTTCTCGCAGCGCGCGCAACGCGGGATGATTGTTGGCGTAGGCGAGGAGACCAAAGGGTACCGCGTGTATCTGCCGAAGGACAAGGTGGTGGTGACCACCCAACACGTGCGAAACATTGAGACGCTGGACAAGACGCAGAACGAGCAGGTGCAGCGACTGTACCTGGAAGAGAGCGACTCTGAGGAGGAGCCACCGCAGAGTGGCGTCGAATCCTCTGCGGCGGGCAGCGTATTCAACGCCGCAGAAAACAATCGCCCCAAGAGGCGCAAGAAGAGCGCCAAGAAGGCGAAGAAAGCCTGGACCCGAGAGCGGCCGGTAACGCGTTCCGCCGGCCGACGAGAGCAAGAAACTGCGGGCGAGCGTGCCCAGCAGGAGGAGCCCTCGAGGGATGTGGTCAACAGCGTCGTCGAGCCCGACCCGAAGAACTACGGGGAGGCTACGCGTAGCCAGAACAAGACGGGCTGGATGGACACCATGGCCGAGGAGCTGCGAGCTCTAGAGGAGAACGTGTGCGGGAAGTCGTGAAGATGCCCCGAGGGGTACGCGTGCTGCACACGAAATGGGTGTTCAAGACCAAACTAGACGCGGAGGGACTCATCGAGCGTCTGAAATCGAGGCTTGTTGCCTGCGGGAACGAGCAGGAGTTCGGTATTAACTACAGTATCACCTTCGCTGTGGTTGTCGACATGACCAGCGTCAAACTGATTTTGGCGTTAGCGCGGAAGTGGCGGGTTCGTGCGAAGCACGGTGACGTCCCAAACGCGTACGTCAAGGCCGAGAAGGAGGCGGACCTGGCCATCTTCATTCACCTCCCGCAGGAAATGGTCATCTCGGAGGAGATGCGAAAGGCACTGGGCGTCGAGAGCGACGGCGAGATCGCGCTGGAGCTGAAGAAGGCCTTGTACGGCCTGAAGCAGGCCGGGCGCCTGTGGAATAAGTTGCTGCACAAGAAGTTGGCGGGATCGGGTTTGAGCAGAGCCTAACCGACATGTGCGTGTACTTCAGATGGCGTGAAGGAGTGATGCTGGTGGTCGGCGTCTACGTGGATGACCTGCTCGTCACGGGTACGAAGCAAGCGCCAGTGGACGTTTTCTTCGAGGAGCTCAGGGAGTTCTCTGTCAAGGACTTGGGACGAGCAAGCAAGTTCCTAGGGATGCACGTCACTTACGAAGAAGAGGATGGATACGATCTGGACCAGGAGGTGACGATCACGGAGATGCTAAGGGATCACGACATGGAGCAACGCCTTGTGCACTGCAAACGCGATGTCGGGCAGCGTGCAACGCGCGACCCACATCAAGCTCCCGACCAGCGACTGAAACTTCTTCACGGTGACAACATCGTCACCTCCAGTGAGGCGCAACTTTTCACCTTCAGCACCTCGGACCTCATTCCATTCCGGCCCGATGGGAGTCCGCACACCGTGTGCCCTGCCGCTTATTGTCGCTTTGTTTTTCTTTCAGGCCACCTCAATCCATGGAGTATGATTTAGCGCACACACACCTACATAGTACACATGCCCATCAAGTGCTGCGTCTTAGTAAGTCCGACAAGGGATCCCTATATGTACAGTCTACTGCCACAGTCTGGCGATCCGGTCGATGACATAACTTCTTAGTGGCAATACCATTACTGTGAGAGCTGGCTTGTGCGCCAATCGGCTGCTCGGTGTGTTCAATGTGATCGCTGTGTTTACACAGGTGTCAGGCAGAGCTTGGTCTGGATGACCGTCATAATGGCGGGCTGCCTGCAAATTTCAGCGTCGATTACTATGATATATGTTTTGTGGTAAATCGGACTGGGTCGAATCGCCGTCTTATATCAGATAAGGGGAATCGCACGTGTGATCGTGTACTACCGTTGTAACATGAAAACGTCATGCGAGAGCGTTGACGCTGCGCCAAGTGAGCTGGGCGGTGCTGGATATCGGTCAACTAGTATGCGGTTGTTGAGCCCCAATATCTATCAATTTGTATGCCACAGAGTGAAGTGACGGGATAGGCTTTGAAAGCAAAGAGGCTGATGCAATTGGCTGATAGGTAGTAAGCAGATGACCACCCGTGAGGAAAGAAGCCAGCAATCGCATCTCAAGGACAAGCAAAGCCGAGAGATGTACGGGGGGGATGGCATGTGACCATCTCACGCCCGAACTGAAGGCAACTAGACAAGCAACAACTACAGTCAACAGCAGTTGGTGGCACGAGTATCTTTGTGGTACATCGTGTTCTAGACGGCTCTGTCGTTGATTTATGTCGCGTTGTGCCATTTTGCTGTGGCCACGGAGCCAAGATAACGCGCAATACCGTTCATCCTACTCTACAAGGGAGCTAGTTTTCCGTCCTAGCGCTGTGCGTACCGGGTTGGTCAACCTGAAGGTGGTATATGGGACGAAGCACGCAAGCAATAGTGACAAGGGGGCCGTGTGATGGTGTGGGTGACGCATGCTGGCATGTGGTAAAAGAAGCGTGAAAGGGGGAGACAGGTGAACAATCGTCCATAATGGAGTGTGCTTCGTTCTGCACGCACGATCGCAACAAGGCGCCGCGCAGTGAGGAGGCGCCAGGAAATGGAGAGCATGTCAGCGGTGGGATTTGAACCCACGAGTGCGAACACAGTAGAACTTGAGTCTACCCCCTTAGACCGCTCGGGCACACTGACGATAAAAATTATACTCCTGACACAAAATCACACGCACGCCTCACACACACATGCGTACAACAAACACCACACCATCAGCTCACACACTACTCTGCCTTCTAACGCCTCACCACGATTCTCATCACTGACACACCCACTCTTACACACCAACCGCGTTTGAGTTAAGGAACGTCCATGAGTATGCGCTGCTGCCGCTTAGTGTCGCTTTGTTTTTCTTTCAGGCCACCTCAATCCATGGAGTGTGATTTAGCGCACACACACCTACATAGTACACATGCCATCAAGTGCTGCGTCTTAGTAAGTCCGACAAGGGATCCCTATATGTACAGTCTACTGCCACAGTCTGGCGATCCGGTCGATGACATAACTTCTTAGTGGCAATACCATTACTGTGAGAGCTGGCTTGTGCGCCAATCGGCTGCTCGGTGTGTTCAATGTGATCGCTGTGTTTACACAGGTGTCAGGCAGAGCTTGGTCTGGATGACCGTCATAATGGCGGGCTGCCTGCAAATTTCAGCGTCGATTACTATGATATATGTTTTGTGGTAAATCGGACTGGGTCGAATCGCCGTCTTATATCAGATAAGGGGAATCGCACGTGTGATCGTGTACTACCGTTGTAACATGAAAACGTCATGCGAGAGCGTTGACGCTGCGCCAAGTGAGCTGGGCGGTGCTGGATATCGGTCAACTAGTATGCGGTTGTTGAGCCCCAATATCTATCAATTTGTATGCCACAGAGTGAAGTGACGGGATAGGCTTTGAAAGCAAAGAGGCTGATGCAATTGGCTGATAGGTAGTAAGCAGATGACCACCCGTGAGGAAAGAAGCCAGCAATCGCATCTCAAGGACAAGCAAAGCCGAGAGATGTACGGGGGGGATGGCATGTGACCATCTCACGCCCGAACTGAAGGCAACTAGACAAGCAACAACTACAGTCAACAGCAGTTGGTGGCACGAGTATCTTTGTGGTACATCGTGTTCTAGACGGCTCTGTCGT